TTTTTTTTTTTTTTTTTTTTTGTTTCAGTATTAAAAACGATAAGTGTAAAAGAGAAAAAGTTTAGAAGAATTTGTTTCTTACATTCCCTCCGCCTCTCTCCTCTGCTCAGCAATTCTTTTCAAATATGTTTTAGGAAATATCAAATTCTTCCGTGACATATTCATATATGATAACAGTCCATCAAATTAATAACCATTGCTTCCGTCATCCTCTTTATCATCATTTTCAGCTTCGATATTTTTCTTTCTTCCTCCTCCCAATTGTCTTCCTTATCTGCCCTCACTCACTCCGGGTTCCAAAAAAAAAAAAAAAAAAATTATTGGCAATGTTTCCGCATTTTCCAGAAACTAATTTTATCCAGTGTTGTTCTTTGGACATTTCTTTTAACCAACAGCATTACCATTACATCAGCATCAGCGTCACCCACTAAAACACTACCAAAAACCACATTTATCTCATCGTCAATCTTTCTAAAGAGTTTCAAAACCAAACAAAACTGAAAAAAAAAGAAGAAAAGAGGAAGAAGAAAATAAATTTTTTTTTTTTGTTTGCTTTAACAAAAACAAAGCTAAAACCAAAAGAAAAAAAAGGTTCCAAAGACTTTTTCTTTAAAATTTTTTTTGCTCAATACTAATTTAACTTCTTCAATTCGTTAATGCTGTTCGTTAAGTCAGCAAATGCGGAAGAAAAAATCTGTTGTTGGCAACAGCCATAGCAAATATGTGTATTTGAATACATAAATACGTAGATATACGGGTAGATAAATCTGCATACATTAACGAATAGAAAAGCGGTCTTCATCAAGCAAATTCTTTTTTTTCTTTTTTTTTGGTAGACACTGGTAATTGTTCAACTATGGCAATAACAAAAAAACAAGACTTCATTTTTCTTTCATTTTTTTTCTACCCAAATTTAGCAACAAATTTTTCTTTTTTTTTTTCTTGCCCTAATGCTAAACCACATATCAATCTCTCCATCTATCAGCCTATCTACTCATCTACTTGTCTGCCTTAAATAGTTTTATAATACTGTTGAAGCGGTTTTTTTCCCGTCAGTAAACTGATAAACCTGTAAAAGAAAGAAAAAATTCTACTCAAGCAATCTTTCCCCCCAACTCTCTTCCCCTTCTTCCTCAGACACCCCATCGTCTTCATTTTGCTATCATTTTTACCCGTCAAAAAGAGGAATGAGAAAAGAAGAAAAAAGCACAATATACAATAAATTAAAATTGTAATTAATATCAATATCAAAAAGAAAAAAAGTGGTAGTAATAAAAAAAACAGGCATCACCATAAAAATAACGATTAAAAATGTATAGAAATAAAAAAAAGCACTTTTTTCTATCTTCTTACATAGGTGATTTTTTTAAGATGTCGAAAAAAAAAGATTGTCTTTTTTTCTCGTT